ACAAAACAAAGAAATAAAAGGGGAAAATTAAGGTGCCCGATGGATGCCTGACAGTGGTCTGAGAAGGGCTTAGCTTTTGCACAGACAATGAAGCATATAGAAGCAGGGCATGTGGGGGCGGAAACGCTCACATACTGGCAACGTCAGAGAAGCCGTCTAGAATCGCTTCCCCATCTAGGCTAGAAACATTCTTTAAAACCCACAACAAAATGAATAAGGCTGGATTTGAAAAGCAACGGCTGGAAGGAAGTTACATAGCTTCTTAAGCCGTGATCTAGGCTGTGCCTCATTCACTATGTCTAACCCACAGATGGCCTTAAGATGTTATTGACCTAAAACACATGCTGTGATTTAAAACCAGTTCAATCTGCAAAGCTCTGATTTTGGATCTTTCCGGTTCACAGCATGTTGTGTACTCTTGCTGGATGGCTTGCAGAACCCATCCTGAACGCTGTTTTCTGCCAAAGGAAGAACTCTCCAGGAAGAGGCTCACCCTTCACTTGTTTCTGACTCTGGGATCAATTCAACACATGTGCCAATTCAAGGGCTTGAACACTGAAAGCATCTTCCATGTCCTGGATCATATTCCAGGTCACTGGCCTTCTAAGACAGCATCTTCCCATTTCTATTGCATTTAGAGTCGGCCCTCTACATTTGCAGCTTTGACTTTTGCAGATTTGATTAATACATTCTCTCCAGGAATCTCTAGATCCTCCAGTGTGAATCTGCTAGATGTTTACCACTGAGTCACACTGGAGGGCCTAGAGATTCCTAAAGAAAATACTTTTCTAGGCATTTGTAGGTGCTCCAGTGTGATTCTATGGTCAACTTCTGCTGGATGTTGACCTCAGAGTTGCACTAGAGGACCCAGAGATTCCTAGAGAGATGCTGTCTCAGGTTAAAAGATACAGTGAGCCCCTGGTATCCTCTGCAGTTTGGTTTCAGGACCCTCCATGGATACCAAAATCTGTGGATGCTCAAGTCCCATTAAATACAATAGCATAATAAAATGTTGTCCCTTACTTGTACTGTACTTTCACATGGGATCAACCTTCCTTACATGCATCAACCACACACTGTAGATCAGACCACAGCCCAACTGGCCTAACAGGTAGAAAAGCAACTGTGGAAACTAGATATGAATGCCAGCAGAAGCAATTTTGAGCATGTGCCACCAGGCTGCAAAAAGTTTTGACCGCAAAGCACAATTTACAGGACTTAAAACCCAATGCTGACAACTCACAGAATCTCAAGCGATAGTTCTTAACCTTTTGCACATCACAGCTCCCTTTGAGAATCAGATGAAAACTATAGCCATCCTCTGCAGAAAAATGCACTTGAAATACATTTTCAAAAGTATGTAACAGGAAACAAATCATAGGGGAGGGGAAATCATTTTTGTATTTATTTAATCAACTCCCTAAAGCTCGTTCACCTGGAAGTCCATGAACTAAGAATCCCTGATCTAGAACAAGCACCTTCTCTACATCTTTGGCCGTCAGTAGATCCTGGGGAAGTGAATTTGAGGGTGGTGTAGTGGGTTGAGCGTTGGACTATGACTCTGAAGACCAAGGTTCAAATCCCCACTCAGCCATGGAAACCCACTGGGTGACCTTGGGCAAGTTACACTCTCTCCACCTCAGAGAGAGAGACAAAGGCAAGCCCGCTCTGAACAAATCTTACCAAGAAAACAGCTGCAGCAACAACAACATCTTGCAGGGCTGTTGTAAAGATTACTGAGATAAGGCTGAGAAAAAGTATATTTCAAAAAGAGCTGTATAAATAGTCCTATTTCTAACTATTATATTTTGTTGCAGTTTGGAGGAAGCATAGTCCAAAAACAACTATCTGAATATTATTATTTCTAATTATTACATTTTGCTGCAATGTGGTGGGCTCTCAAAGAAGCTACTGCTCAAAATGAGCTATAGAAATGTTATTTCTAATTATTACCTTTTGTTACAGTTTGGAGAGAACATAGTCAAAAAGAGCAATTGGAAATAATAGTAATATTTACAACTGCTACATTTGTTGCAGCATGGAAGGCTCTCAGAGAAGCTATTGCTCAGAAAGAGCCACATAAACAAAAATATTATTTCTAAGTATTACCTTTTGTTGCAGTTTGGAGGAAGTCAGAAATGACTTGAAGGCCCACAACAATCACTACTACTGTATCTTCTACCAGTTAGCTCAAATAGATAATCCCAGGTTCCAATTTCTCCACCAAGTATAATTTTTTAAACGTCTACTCCCTTATTCCAAAATAGTCCAAGCTGTCCTTGTAAGGGGAGTTGTTCCATTCCCTTCATCATTTTGGTCATCCTTTTCTGGCTCTACAATTATCTTTATTTTAGGTCAGTTGACAGAACCATACATAAGATTCCGGATGTGGCTACACAACAGAGCTTTATATAAAGGCAGCATAATATTGTAGTTTATTTTTTATTCCTTCCCTAAAGGCAGCTAGCAAGTCAGGGAGAAGCCTTCAGCTTTATCTTCTTCCTCGTGTACCTTCTTCTATGTGAGAAGATGCTGCCTTTCATAAAAGGACCAGAGAATTTAAGCATCCAAACCCTTCACAGCCTGGAATGGTACAAGTCTAGGAAAGGGTTTGCCATGTGGTTTTGCTGATTCTATGAACAGACTCTGATAGCATCTCCGGGAGTAGAGAATTGATGAGAAACAGAGATGGGGATCCTCTACTCTATGGCATTGTTGGCACACAACCTAATGTATGCCCCCACCCCACCCTCCTTTCTGTGTTAACTGCTGGATGCTTAATATGCACAAGTTGATCTCCATTCCCAGCCCACACAATACATAGCTAAGCACTGTGGAAGGTCTTTCATACAATTGCTGCATGAGAGCATAAAAGGTTTTCTTATCAGATAGCTCAGACCTTGCTGAAGCAGCTAGAAACACCAACAGCCAAAGGCTCCCTAAAGGCAGCCTCTGTGTGGTGTGTATTCTGGGTCTAGAAGCAAAAGCTAGAGATCTGCTCAGCATATGATGGGGCCAAGGAGGCTGGAGAAACTGACCACTCAAGCTTGCTGCTAAACAACCTCCTGGGTTTTGAGCCAGCACAGTGCAAACTCTGAGCCAAAGACCCAGCCAGTTAGGGGTAAAAATAGAAGGGGTAAGTCAACATTGTTGTTGTTGTTGTTGTTGCATGCCTTCATGTCATTTCTGACTTAGTAACTTCTGACTAAAGTGAGCCTATGATGGGGTTTTCTTGGCAAGATTTGTTCAGAGGAGGTTTGCCACTGCCTTCCCCTGAGGGTGAGAGCATGTGACTTGTCCAAGGTCACCCAGTGGGTTTCCATGACTGAGCAGGGAACTGAACCCTGGTCTCTTGAATCACAGACAATACTCAAACCACTATACCACACTGGCTCCTGAGTCAATGACACATACTCTTTAAAATGTTTTCAAATGAACAGCCATGTTAGTCTGTTTTAGTATAAAGTGGGGGGGGGGGAGGAGGGATGATAGAGGATAGAAGAACTCAAGAGCACCTTTAAGACTAACTAGTTTATTTTAACATGAGTTTTCATGAATGGAAGAAGTGGACTGCTATAAATGAAAGCTCATGCTAAAATAGACCAGTTAGTCTCAAGGTGCTGCTGAATTCCTTCATTGTCCCTAGAATTCCTGTTGCTTACCTTCTGCCTCAATTTTATAGTCTTAAGGAGCACACTTGGCACAAAGCTTCTGGAGTCTCACACAACATCAAAGGCATGCCCAAGGTTTCATCCAAATGGGCAGGAGGAGAAATATGGGGTCAGGGATAGGAGTTCGTCTAGGCTGGAAGTCTCAGGAGAGGTGAAGCTTACAAACCAAAGCCAGCCCGGACAGACAGAAAACATATTGGTCCCACCAAGGAGTCCTGCTAGCTAAAGCTCCATAGAAAGTTACTTAGAGCAGTGCAAGAGAACTGCCACTATTCACCCATATACTGTACATGTAATTCTGCACAGAATACATGGTGGTTTTTAAAAGTTAAAAAGGAGATTCATAAGGATGCACCTTCCCTACCAGCTGTCAGGTTCTTTGCCTACAAAAGGATAAACAAAAAGCAAAAGGAAGCCAGACTTCAGAGAACAACAGCTGCTAATGCAATTCCTCCACTTTGCTTGGGCACACCAGGAAACCGTCCACAAGAAGCAACAAATGGCCCCACCGCACTGAACCAGTTCCTGAACTGTCCTCCTTGGTAAACAAGAGGCATTTTGCAAAGGCCTGCAGAAACCTAAGCTCCCACCCTGCAGCAAATGGGACAAGGGGCCAGCCTGCCAAGGAGGGAAATGGAGGCCTCTCTCCGCTGTTGTTCCAAGTGAAAAAATGGCACACACAAAGAGAATCAATGTGCCTCACCCTCCCCAGTAATGCATCATGCCTACAAGGGAAACAGGCAAACCCAGTAGATCTGCCACAGTTACTGGGAAGCAGAGCTGTGGAGTCAGTATGCCAAACCTTCGACTCCTCTGCTCTCCAACCACATCCCCTTCGTAAATGGTAAATCTATATTAATTAGTAATAATACATTTATTGCAGTATAATGGTAGCACAAGGCATTTCATTGCCATCACAGGAATCATCAGGCTACTTAGTGAGAGATTATAAAATATATTTATCTGATTAATATTTCTGAGTAGGAAAACCTTCCTAAATCCCCATGAAAGTAAACAGGCAATAAATTACAGTGGGCCCTCATTTTATCTGCTGGGGTTTGGATCCAGGATCTCCCATGGATACCAAAACCCATACATACTTAAATCTTAGTATATACAATGGCACTGTAAAATGGTGTCCTTATATATATATATATATATATATATATATATATATATAAAAGGCAAAATCAAAGTTGTTTTTTTGGGAGGGGGATGGGTGAAAATTTTCGAATTCATGAATGTGGAATCTGTGGATATGGAAGACCAACTGTGTATTCAGAAGCCAGAATCAGAGTCGGTACATTTCTACTAATTCCGACTCTGCTCAAAATGGCTTCAGACTGACTCCATGACTCCGACTCCACAGCCTTGCTGGGAAAACAGGGAAAATTAATGATTTCCTACACAGAAACCATCCCCTCCCACAAATTTGCAGAGATTACTGTCTGAGGAATGGGAAAACCAACAGACACTATAAGCAGCAGGGAAAGGTGTGTATAGCAACAGGATAGAATGGGAAGTGGGGAGTTGAAAGACTGAGAGGAGGCTGTTCTCAAGAAAGATGGTGGAGCTCTACTATCTTGTAGTAGCTGTAAGGGAGAGGACAGGAAAAGGCACTTCCTCCAAAAAAGTACAAGAAGAGACTCTGGGAAATCTCATGGCCCTCAGGACCAAACTTCTACAATACCCAAATTGGAACGATGGGTCTCTGTTTTCATTCAGATAGCACATTTTTCCTCACTTCTTCCCAAGAAAGAAAGGACAAGGAGCCATCTCTTGCTAAAATTATAAGGTGCAGCTTCCAATCTGACCATCAAAAGCCTCTTTTCTGTTCAGTCAGGGATGGGCCGAGTGTTTACTGCCTTGCTGGGTTCTTGGGGAGAATAATTCTAGAACAGTGGTTCCCAAACTTTGGTCTTCCGGGTATTTTGAACCAATTCCCGTATGCCCTTTTCAGCTTGGCCAACAGTCAGGAATGCTGGGGAGTTGAAGTCCAAAACATCTGGAAGACCAAAGTTTGTGAATCACTGCTCTAGAAGATGGTGGTCAGCTGCTCCAGCCAAAATACTGGAGGACACCAACACTTATTTCTAGTTCACCATCCCTAGTTGCTGTATTAAAATATGAACACAATTAACGCAACACAAAAAGGGCAGAAATGCTAATTTGTTTGCAGAATAGACAAGTGATCGCCCAAGCTTGGACAGACAAATGCACATTCCATTTGATTTTCAAACACTTGGTCTTAGTTCAAGTACACAGTAATGTTTTAGTCTCGCACAGTGTGTCATTTTTGCCACTTTCCTACAATAATTTAACCCAATGATTTAATTTCCTGAAATTTTGCTAATTCTTAGAAACTCAGCCACTGCTGATCCAAAGCCCATGAAAATACCTTCTCTGTGAGGTAACCCAACCAGTGATTCCCATTCCCACTTGCTTATGGTACGAACTATGAGCTGAAGCTGAACACCCCTTGCTTCACAAGGAAGTGAAGCCAGCAAACACAACCCCTCTCCATGCCACTGTGGATATCCATACAATTAAGCTCAGTCATCATCAGACTGTGAAGAATGAGCTGACATGGAGGCTCAGGCAGTCCAACTCAGGAAAACAGATCAGCAAAACAAGGAAGCAAAACCCTTCCCAGACACAGATAACACACCTCTAGGCCTGGCAGTTTCCTGTTCTGGTTAGCTGGCACAGCAAAGACCACCTTGTTTCCAGAATCTGGCTTGCTAGCACCCAGTCCCATGCTGACATCCCCTGAGCAGGAGAAATTCCATCTCCCTAACTTCAAGCTGAACCTCGTGACACTTCTGAATGCCAGCTGTTTCTGTCCCTAGAGGCCAACTCAAGAGCTGGCACACATGCTACATTTCATCCCTGGAGTGCTATACCAGATCCCACCTCTGTCTTAATATCTGGGTCCAGGGGTGTTAATACTGGGGCCCAAACATTTCTCACATGTCAGATTTGCAGCTGATAAGCCCCCTCCCTATCCAAATGTAGGTGGAAGTGTACTGCAAACCCACCATGTATCAGGCACAAACACCATATCAGATTCCTGAGCAAAAATATCTATTCCTGAACCAACATTCAATAAAGGCAGCATCTCACATTACATCTCAAGGACATGAGGCTAAAAATCTAGTCAAGTTCAGCAGAAAGGGCAGACAGTATCCCATTAAGTTTCAAGGTAGCAGACCTCTGAAATTAGCCCACAGCTCTTTGGAAGTCTTACTTCTCAGCCACTTGTAGGTTTTGGGAGGCTGTGTCCCATAATGAATATTGCCTATCAATACCATAAGGATCTGCAGCCAGACCACATCTGCCCTCCACAGAACAGGTATGGGATATAGCCTTAGAAGTTTTCTGCTTAGTAGTATACATCCATTCAACCAAACAGTTCAGGTACCCCATGAGAACAAAGCTAGAGCTGTCTACCTTCTGGGAACCAGACTGGACCGCTGTAATGCAGACTGGATCGACCAATGGCTTTGGCCGTTTGGCTGACTCCTCGATGATGCCCTGCCATTGCCGTGGCAGACCCGTGAACTTCTGCTCCTGCTGGTCGTATCCTGTGTGGACCCGGTGCTCAAAATTGGAGGGAGCAGATATCTCAATGCGTTTTTTCTTCTTGCTGAACATGGTGATGTTGGCTAGCAGACCTAAAAGAAAACAGAAAAGGTTGTTTCTTTGTCAATGACAGACATATACAAACAAATGAAAAGAGCATCCCTCAAGGCCAGACAATCTGCAATACAAAAGCTGAACATACAAGCCAATTCGGTGTTTACTGTTTATTCATTTTTTAAAATTCATATCCCATTTTTTCTCATTATAGGACACAAGATGGCAAGTGTGTGTATGCGCGTTCTTAGTACCCTCTTTCAACCAACTTCTCAAGTTTGCTGAAAGAAGACACTAAGAGAGTACTCTTAAAAAATTCTAAAAACAGTATGAAATAAATATTCTCTTCCAGAAAGCAAAGTTGTCCAAAGTAAAAAGCTCTACAACTAGGTGTATGATGACCTCCCCCACCCACTCAAAAAAGGAGAAGTAAAAACCAAAACAGGTGCTGCATCAGAGGATGGGGTCAGTCCACACAAAGCATGTCAGGAGACAGAAATGGTGGCACATCTTTGGGGTGAAACAAACTTGCTTTAGAGATTCAGTCACAGTAAGCCTTCCAAGATGAAAACAATACAGCTCAACTTGTCCAAAACACAACTAAAATATATGAAACTAATGATTCGACAGTCATTAAAAAGGAGTGCATTTGGGGTAAGGTTTTTGCCGAAATGACAAGGACTGAGCACACAAGAGAAGGTCACACATTCCTTTTTGCATGAGTTGTAAGAGATAGGTGGATAAGTAGAGCTATAAACCTAGACTTGAGGTATAGTTAGGCTATTAGAAGCTGGGAACACAAGAAGGATGTGGATGATGGCCCTGATTTCACAGTCTCATCTTCCTCATGGACTCAGGTTGGCCAGGGCTCTCACATCAGTTCTTCTTGAGGTGTGTCTCTTTTGTCTGCCTGCTTTTGCGTACACATCCCTGTCTCCTGCTTCCTCTGGGAGAACCACCTCCTCTTCTGAAAAATACTTCTGGTTTGCATAATCTGCACCCCAGCCAGGACAAGGAAGACTGCACCCCAGCCAGGACAAGGAAGACTTGAGGTAAAGGCAACCTCCTGTCGGCCTCCTCCACAGA